TCTCTCTCTCTCTCTCTCTCTCTCTCTCTCTCTCTCTCTCTCTCTCTCTCGTTCATCTGTCCACCCGTCCGTCCGTTTCCATTAAAAAATGCCACCCACGCGCTAAAGAATAACGTTTAATTACTGTCCGCGAGTGCAAAAGTTGCGCAGTGCGGCTCGTCCATTTTCCTCATATTCCTACACACGTTCGTCAAAAGAGCTACTCAGGACTAAAAGAATAGTGAAGGGGGCACGTTTTTAATAGATTTAACCGGCGTTACGAAACGCCATGCAAAACAACGCGGCAATATTATCTATTCGGAATACGTATCGTGCCTGATTGCCATTCATTATCAATTATTATGCCCGTTCTGTACTCGTTGCGTATTATTATTGTGCACAAATGTTAATCCATAATTAGTGGCGACGCAACGATTATTGCATCCGGATAATTTAGTAGTTTATAGCGCCATAATTAATAGCATCTTTTAATTAATTTCATAATTAAGTAATACACATCCACAGAACTATTATGAAACTGACCGCCGCCGCATCTACGCATTACAAAGAGATAATATTTAGGTGAACTAATCCTCTCTCAGTTCTTCAAAATTCAATATTGCCGGTTGCATATTTGCAAACATAGGCGAGCCATATCGTATTAAAATTCGAGAACGCGCGAATCCTCCTCTAGGCAGTTCAATCGAGTCCGCTTGCCTCTTGGAGAAAATACTCTCGCCGCGCGTCGTATCCAGCGAAATCCTTCGTCAACTTCAGAGTGGATTAATACGCAATTTCCACGGATGAGCGCGAAAAACCGGAACGTTGCTGACATTTTGCGCTTCGCCACTCGCGCGAAACGTCACGTCTCGCGCGGATACTACGCGAAAATCTGGCGAGAGCGATGGTGAGAATTAAGAAGACGAGTGAAATAAGAATAAGAATAAGAAAGAAGAAGAGAAAAAGGGAGAAGAGAGAGAGAGAGAGAGAGAGAGAGAGAGGAGGGGAGAAAGAGAGATGCAACGTTGCACGAGAAGCGCCACGTCGAAATTCGCTGGCGCGGGTTGCGCGTTTTTTTGCGGGAATTTAATGAAAACCGTAATTGAATATGTTCATTACGAGGTATAACGCCTGTCGCGCCGCCGCCATCGTCGTCGCTGCCGACGCCGCTGTCGTCGTCCTTGTCGTCGGCGTCGTGCCGGCGGTTCCTGGACCCGACGGTGGGCTGGAAAAGTCCTGTCCGTTTCGTACTACGTGGCTAGCTGCGCTTCAGATGGACAGAATCATCGCCACGTGAACGGACGGACAACTGGATCGATTTAGTCCACTGGATGCGGCAACGCGAATCGGACGGTCGCAGACTATACTTTCTCCGGGGCTGCGGCACGATCCGTCCGCGCTTTCTCCCTCTCTCTCTCTCTCTCTCCCTCTCTCTCTCTCCCTCTCTCTCTCTCTCTCTCTCTCTCTCTCTCTCTCTGTGTGTCTATCTCTCTCTGTCTCTCTCTGTCTTTCTTGCTCACGGTAATTGGACACATAATTTATTTCACGCTCACAGACCGATGTATTCCTTATGTAATTACCGGACAGCGGTTTTCTTGCTCTTTTTTCTACAAGAGGAAAAGAAAGTTTGGTTGGATTAATCAAGTGTCTGGAGAAGTAAGAACAAACCAGAAATTCCGCTTGAAATTGCTAGAATCCTATTCGATTAATCAAATTTTGACGATTTTCGATTTTAACCAGATTTCTGGCTTGTACCAGAACTTGTAGCTGTTCAAGTTATAACCAAAAATCTTGTTAACTTCACGGAAATAGAGAAGATGTCATTGCCGCAGCTAATCAGGGCTTGCTGAAAGTATATTCTGCTGTAAATATATTTGCTGCCGTAACTTTGCTGCAATACTTTTACTATCGTTGCTACACTGAAAAGAATTTTGTTGTCGAAACGAAAATTTGGTACACCGGAAAATACTTTGCTTAAAATGCCCAAATGTTTCATAATAATTTGGTTGCATCAATTTCCATAAATTTGTGTATGTTACTTTCTCAATAATACTCGCGACACAAATAAAAAAACGTGGTAGTATCAACGAAAAATAGTTTTTTTAGTGTATAACATCGGTTTTGTAACTAAATCTATGTTTACTGGCAGCTATTCATGTCACAACGAGATTTAGTTACCACACACAGTATGTCGTGCTGCAAGCTCTTTTTTCTGTGTTGAACAGAACTCTAATAACTTCAAGCGGGATTTCTGGTTCGTTCATATTTCACTGGACATTTGATTAATCCAACGAATACCATATTGTATGGTTAATATAACCATATTTTTCCGTTTACCTATCTTTTCGCGCATACCGGGAAACGCACTCTGGGCGTCGCAGTGATCGAGACTCCCCCATCATCGATGGTCGCGATGGTTTCGTAACGTGATCTGCACGACTCCCCTAATCTCTCTCTTCTCCCCTTCTTTCAGCTTCGATTTCACTTCGTAAAACTGCACTAAACCAACTTAATTTCGGATGACGACAGCGCGCGTTGAAAGGCGACACGTAGACAGACACGAGAGAAGAAAAGAAAAAAAGTCCAAATCCCTTGATTTACTCTCTAACAAATCTGTCGAGTTTCGTCAGATTGGCATGGCCAATCTACCGCCGAACGCGCACAACGACGTGATTTTTCGCGAAAGCTCAATTACGTTTAATTGAAACGACGACGCGAAAGCGGTAAACGTAAGTGCCGTTATCCTCGAGGCGCGTTACTCTCTCCTGAGCCAGTCCTGAAGAAGCCGTGAACAAGTAGCGGCTGCAATAGTGATGTAATCTCGCGTTAGGCTGCTGCGAGCAAGGGTGAGAAAGCGATAAAGTCCAACCTCGATTCGTCGAGTGAAGTGCGCTGGACAGCGCAGCAGTAATAAATCTATTGTAAATGCAGCGATGTCCCCGGGACTGCCGTCAGCTCCTCTCGTCTTCTCCTCCTTTACTCTTGGATAAAGAATCGAGAATTTTTCTAAAGAATCCACCGAGCGCGAGAAACAACGGCGATACCTCTGGGAAACTTCACGAGGATCAGACATAATTTTCAATTAAACGAGCGGGTGGGCGGCCTGTAACCGCGCGCGCTTACGTAATACCGCGTTAGCCTGCCGCCGAAAACACGAAACTTTAATATTTTTCTCCAGGTAACGTCTTTTAATAAAGTCGCGCGCGAGTCACGACTGCTACTAATTGAGCTGCAGCGTTAGCTTCTGCCGCGATTTTCTCGCGATATTTTTTCAACTAAAAACGTTATAGGAACTCGATTTAGTCGAGTGCGCAAACAGATGGATTTATTTAGGAAAATAATACATTGGAAAAAGAAAAGTTTCGATTGGATCTGCCAAATTTCTAATTGAACATGAACGAACCAGAAAATTCCGGTAACTTCGAGCGGAATTTGTTGGTTCGTTCGTATTTCACCAGAAATTTAGTTCAACCAGACGTTCCTTTCGTGTGGAAAGTTCATAAGCGTTTGCGTTTTACAGCGCAAAACAAAACCGTGTTTCTCGATAATTTAAGAGCAAAAGACAGAGAGGGAGAGAGGAAGAGAAAGTGGCGGCGGCGGGGAGAGAAAAATTTGCTTTAACAGAAATTTAATTTAAAGCACGCGAGCAATTTTAAAGAGCAATGCGTGGTTAGCCGAAAGTACATACCGATGAAATCTGCCGAAAAGAAATTGGTCATAAATTCGTCGGCGCAGATACGCGGCTGAAAGCAAAACAGCGGGACGTCGATATAAATTTTCCCTAAATTCGACGTAATTTCGAATTCAAGGCGAACGCGAGATAGTTATGAATTTCCGTCGTATCCCCTCGAGAACCGGCACACGGTCTCGAGTTACACGCGCGATATGAGCGCGGATAATAAAACAGATGACGAAAAACAACCGCTCTAACCCGCGCGTGCTTTAATCCGCAGCCGCGCCGTCTGTAACCAACGACGGTGCTATTAGCCCCGACTATTTTCTTCCGTTTTGCACTTTCCGGGAGATTAGCGATGGCAAAAGCAATTGCGCGCGATGCGCCGCGAAAATAAATGCAGTGGAACCTGCAATAATGGCAGGATGCGCGCCGGCAAGACTACGACGACGACGACCCTTTGAACCCACCTCCGTCTTGTTCCACTTATTGTACCCGCGTCGCGGCAATGACGTCGTGCCTCTCGCCGCATCCGGGCCAGCACCTTTGGAAAATTCACGAAAAAGAGCGAGAGAGAGAGAGAGAGACGCGATTTTACACCTCCGTCTCTTCTTTTTACGTCAATCCCCATAAATCCTATCAACTTGGAAACTCGCCGTTAAAGTCGAGGATATAAAAGAAAGACGTGTTAACATTTTTTTTCGAGATGCCGATGCGGTATTAGACTTGTATATTAACATAGAAAATATCTAAAAAAGAAAAAATAAAACTAAGTATCTAGTAGTCGGCACTCTATAATACTCACTAATATTCAGTTATATATATCAGAGGATTTTAAAAAAAGAAATACATGTAGATATCATTTTTGCTATATATAAATTATTATTATTTATGTAGTGCGCTAGCGCATTCTTCAAAAACGATTGCCTATCACAGAAAATTGAGTTGAATAAAGAACAGGAATAAGGGAAAAAGAGAGAAAAAATTAATATTTTCGGTGAGCTGACTCGATTGTTAACGGACAAGATATCGGTGCTGTCCTCGGGGAATGGACACTGGCAACGCGCTGCAGGATTTTTCGGTCTCGTTTGTGTACAACGCGATTCGGTTAATGCGCCACCGTGGCGTGGTCGATAATGACGCTTCCGGAACATAATTTCATTGCCCCAAAAACGGACTGGCATCGGGACGCAATTTTCGCCGGGCAATAAAGCGAAATTCGCGAAATGATTCGTCCGTGCTGCAGTAATTTCTCACTTTTCTTTCTTTTTTTTTTTATATATCGTCGGAACTGCGGAGCGCGCGATCTTCGGGAAAAATCTCGTAACATTCGCTTCAAGCGAATTTGTCGTAAAGAGGAAAGAAAGAGAGAGAAAGAAAGAGATGTATATATGATATATTGGAGAAACTTTCCTGAAATAACTAAAACCATACACACACATACACACATACACATATTTACGGTAAAAATATCAAGAAAATTTGAGAGCGACCAGCTCCCAGTTCTCTTCCAGTTCTATTATTAGAAGGCAATTAATGTTAAACAAAGTCGCATTTGACGAGTAGAATATAAAACGTTGTAAATAACGTTGTATGTGTAACAAAATTTTTATAAGAGTAACGAGAAAATAATTTATACTAAATTGTTATTCGTTAGCCTCATTTCGTGAAATATTTCGTCGAATAAATATTTTTATCGATTCCCCCCGTAAAGCATGAAAGATAGCGCACGCTGCGTTTTTTCGTTGATTTAATTGATCTCGCTTTGATTTATTTAAAAAATAACACGTGTTCCGGGGTTATATGCAAAAAGATCGGAAATGTAATCGAGAATATTTTTGTTTTTATCCGCTACATATGTATCGTCGCGTGTTATCGTAAAACAGATTGATTCCTATTAATATATTTGAAAGCCGTTATATTAAAAATTAATCCTGAAAATATTGAGAGTTGCAACACAGAGCACTAATTCGTCAAATTACTCCCGTTTTGTTGATCCACGAGTCACTTTACCAACGAGAACATTCCCACATTTTTATCTCCTCCTGCATTTCTTTCATTTGTACTTGTTTAAAATACCATTGAGAGATACGAACTACGATATATGCCGCTATAGAATGAGAGGATAAAGGTATATTATGGAAAAGCTAGATATATGTGTGTGTAAGGAAGAGAAAGAGAGCAAGCCGCTCTATCTGAAAAATGAGAATGTCTCCTTTGAAGAAACGACTCCGCAACTTCCTTAATCGACGACCGCATTCCCTTTTTTCCTCCCTCTCTCCCTTGGCCCTTCTGCTCGTTATCTTTCGCTGTCGCGATCCTCAAAGCCGCATCTTCTTCGCAGGCAGACCTCACCCGTTGCATAACTGCACCACCTACAACCAGAACGGCTCCTGGGTGAGGATATCTTGCGTCGAGGGATACGATGGCGGTCTGCCGCAGAAATTCGTCGCCATCGTGGGTAAACGGCGTCTGGAGTCCCCGAGCCCTTATTGGGAGTTCGAGCTGTCCAAGCCGACGAAAATCTCCCTTTACGGGGTAAACGCGAAGGGCTCCAGCGAGCCGGTCACCATAGTAGTCGCCTTGAAAGGGGTAGCCAAGTTCACCGGTAAGTTTCCGCGGAGTCGGTATATCGTCGAGCGATGAACGAGATAGATAACTCGCTCTGAGTGCATCGCCCCATCCCTATCCCTAAACAGACGATCATTCTACGCAGACCGTTTGGTAATTGGTGATGCAATCGCGCTCGCTTTGCTTGGACGGCAGTCAAGTTTTGTTTTAGCTGATGTCGTTTGTCTCCTTCCACGAGTTAGGTCGAATGTGAGGAGATTAAAGCGTGACTGCAGTTCAACGTCCGTGGAATCGGCCAGCGTATAGTCAGCTCGAAAAGTAATGTTATTTCCTCCTTTTTTATTGTTTTAACATTTGCCAGCTCTCTATAGCGTTGTCGCGTTCGTATCGTCGACACGGCTCGCATAGCTCGTGCAATTTACACCGCCAAAAATATTAAGAGTCTATGGCACGACGCCTGAAGGAAGTTCCAAGAAGGCTGTCTCCTTAATCCTTTCAATCGCGATGCAAATAAAGCCGAGTGCGCGGAATCGATATCTCGTACCCTGCCGACGGGAGCCTTGCCAATGCTTTTTTCTTCGTTCCGTCGAGCGCCCTTTATTCCATTTTCAACCCCCGGCGAGCTGACGCTCGCATCAAATCGCAGCTTATCGATCGGCCAGCTGGCCCTTCGCTCGTTATTCGGACTTCGGCAAAAATATGGTGTGGTAAAAATCGTATATCGCGGAAAATCCGCGCTCTACCAACTTCTACGTATAAACTTCCGTATTGCAAAAAAGAGTGAGAACGGAGAAAGAAAAAGAGAGAAAAACCCACCCGATAAAACGTGTATACTGTAAAAATTAAGGTGATGAAGAGTTCTGCTTTGTTTAACCGCAAAAGACCGCAAACGTGGTCTGATGAAATGCGGTGCTTTCGAATACCAGATACCCTCGGCATTCTTCTTTATCGGAATGACGAGTAAACAGGCCGTGAAGAATGCGATCATCTTGTCAGCGCGTCATAAAGATTCAGCGAACTATCCGAATATCCTCGCGTTTCCGAGAGGGAGACGATGATTAATACGTCGAGTATATACTGAGAAAAAAATATCTAAGAAATAAAAAAATATTTGGTAAATACTAATAACGTAATTACTTGTACTAGGTTACATTTCAAAACATTCTTGTTGAGGAAAATTTTACTGAAAATCTATAGCTCACATTACACATATGAATTTTCGGTAAAGTTTTTCTCAAAAAGGACATTTTAGAACGCGCGCGCGTGCATCAGCCTAATATAAAAGACATTTTCTCAAAAAACCTTAACTTTTCATGAAAACAATTGTCTATTTAAATAAAATTTAGATTTAAATAAATATGTATTATTGTCACTCACAGAATAAAAGTTTTTTTATTTCTTGAATATTTTTTCTCTCAGAGTGTTGGTCACTGACGATCAGTCTCATTAAGTTACGTGTAATTAATTACATTTGAAAACTCGATCGAATATAGAATATTGAACGAGAATGAAACGAGGCAAAGGATATATGTACGCGTCTCGAGTTACATTTATTCACCGAAATTTCGGTGACTCACTCATCGGTTAAACTTTAGTACATGGGAAAAACAATATAGCCGACTCGCAATAAATCTGGTTATGTCAACCAGATTCAATAGTGGAATACGGAACAGCTAATTATGTGGTTGTTGTAACCGCAGAGCAATTGCCGAGTTACAGTAACGATATTTGGTTGCTCCGATCAGAATGTGTATCCATGGGGTAAATATCAGCTCAACCAATTTCTGGTTGCCACAACCAGATCACACGCAGCTACATAGGTGTAGTTGATACCAAAGTAACTGAGTCATATCAACCATACACATTACCACGGCACGAAGACCAGGACGATGCAATTATGCTGCTCACAACTAAATATTTCTGACTATAGAATTAATTAAAATGAATGCGGTGTTCGACGCACGGAAAAAACACTGAAGATATCACTTCCTTAAATACGATTGCTATAACAAAATATTACAGTTATTTTTTTCTCGTGCATACTAAATAGTTGCAGTAACCATAATACTGTGGAATTGATACGCTGGCTTTTTTGTTGCTATGCATACATGTTTAAGGGATATTCTCAGTGCTGTATGGCGTAACCAAACTCTACAGATCTCTCAACCATAATATTTGTTTTACAAACCACAGAGAGAGAGAGAGAGAGGGAGAGAGAGAGAATATTCCTTCGGTTAAGGCAGTTATATACGAGGATAACTGAACATTACGTACTATGCCTGTGAAAACTGTATAGATGGACGTATAACGGCAACATATAACAACATTTAATACAACTATTGAACTTGAAATCACAGAAATTTTTTATCCAACCAAAGAGAATGCGAACGTAGCAACTGTTTCCTCCGTGCGGATATTAATCAATCGACGGATTCTCGCATATGTCTCTTCTTACACTTGTGCTCGCGCATTCGAAGAACGGACGCGTTAAGTTTCACACGTCAATTTGGACGACGGAGTAACGTCACGTCAGCCGGAAATGCTAGCGGCGACATGCAAATGATCCCTGTTGAACAGTTCGCCGCGCGGCGAGGTCAACCCTGCTCGTGCCCGTTGCCGGTTTCGCTGAAACATGCGCGGTCGAGCCTCGCGGAAAATTTATGAGCGTCAAAATTTATGAGCCATTATTATGCATTCTGCTTTCCGCCGCGTTCCGTCGCCGTCCGCCGCCTGCCCGCCTCTCCTGTCTGGCCGTCGCGTTTTCCTCGACAACCGATCGAAGCGCGATTCTCGCGCCAATCGCGCGAGCGATCGTCGCTGTTTCGCGTTGATATCCCCGACGAAACGCTCAACGAGACGGCGGAGGTGTAACGAAGATATACGCGCCTGGAGATATAGCCATTGAATTATGCGCGCGGTCCCTTTTGATATACAAATCAGGAGCGGCGCGTCTCACTCCTCCTGAATACTCGAGCGAAGATCGCAGAATTAGCTGCAGCTTGGTTAATTTCCAATGTAAGATCCCCAACGCATTCGCGTCACTCGACTTCGGTTTTGATTATTAAAATTTTACGCGCGCACAACTCACGTTTTGAGTTATCGGCGTAAACGATGAGTCCTCAAAAAGCTGAAGGATGATGGCGAATGAAGGCTCTTATGTACGCGACTTGAACGAAACGTTCAGGTAAAGAAAAAGTACTGATATTTGGACGCGTATCTAACTCGATTATTTAAACTTTCAATATAGAGAAGAAGA